ATTGAGCTCCATGAGGGCTCTTCAAGAAATAGATTGGGAGCGCGCACATGTGACAGCCTAATGTTTGCTTCCTTCGCATTATCATCGCCGTCCTTGTCGCCACCATCGTCGTTATCATCGCTCGAACAGTCGCCGCCCGAAGTGCTGGACTAGCGCGGTGGAGGGACCTGCTTCTGTCACCTGGGCGCAATGCGAAACGCACTTGGCGACGCGCACGCGGTGCTCTCTTCGGAAGACTCGCCCACTTCCTTTGGTTGTGCAACGCGAGTCCCCCTGCAACCAGCGCGTGACATCGAAGCCTCGGTGTTAAAATGTGCGTTCGTGCGTTCGCGTGCTTCGCGCTGCGCGGTGCGAAACAAAACTCGCGCAGACAAGCGCGTGCTCGCGTGCTCCGCGGCAACGAGGCCGTTGGCGCCGCGGGCCGTAGAACGAGCAGCGCTTCGCGGGACCCAAGGGGAACCGCGCTGTCGGGGAGCGATGGCGCACGCAGAATTCAGGAAATCAAAACCGCCCCCCCGTCGCAAATCTGAAGTCGATCTTCGTTGTTCTACCATGTGGACCGAGGTCGCAGACGGACGGCATCGCAAGACCGAAGCCGAAGACGAATGCCAAGGCCGAAGACCAACTTGCATCGCAAGACACAGCTGCAAAACCAAGGCTGGGCACCGACGCCCTGGGGCACTGGTCGAAGCCGGCAACCGCGCCTAACCCATCGGACAACCCACCCCGAAGACCGACGTATATGCAGTAGTGAAAACAGACGACACTTTCAACTGCACACCAACAGCTACGAATCTGGAGCCACAGCTTCACCAAAACAAAATTCACAACAACCAATTGACCCCAAAAACCTTCACACCAAAACGAACACCGATTTCCGTTTTAATCGCTTTCCCTGCCCCGTCTGGGGCCATTCCTACAGACGGCCCCGTTCTCTGACCCCCGGACAAACCCAAACAATCTCTGGATGTATTGCATGGGGCTGGTGGGAATTTGAAGGGAATCGACCTTCTACGGTATTGTCTTCGGCGGATGAACTTATGATTGGTGGGCAATCTTCGTCCAGAACGTTGCATGATCAGGGTGCATCGGCTATTGCTCCATCCGCTGGCAGAGTACGTCTCGAGCCTGTGCCAACACACCCGCTCGTCTTGCCGACGGAGAACGGCGCCCTTTGCTGTGCAGTCGGTGTCGGGAAGGTATGTGGCCGAGGATCAGTCCAAGCAAAAGAAGGGTCAATGAGGTGGGGAGACACTGTCCGGGCAATACGCTTTTGCCGAGATCCTCCGCTCTCCACCCCAACCTCGCTCGTAGTCAGCGTCTTGCTGAATTGGTCGCCAGAGTCTTGTTCGCTCGCCCCCCTCCTCCTTCGGGCCCTGAGCCCCTCCCCCCGCCGCCAGGACTGCGACAGATTCAGGGCTTCTCGGATTCGTTCATTCGTTCGTGCCGATGCCGAGGGGCTCCCGCCGTTCTCGGCCTCCTCGGCCGCCTGGTAAATCAGGGGTCTCCGGAGCGGTGCCCATCACCCACCCAGCTGGAACCCCCCAGCAGAAGGGCGTGTCGAGGCCGCCAGGTGATGTCCCCACCAGCAGCGCGCGGTCAGGAAGTTGCGGTATTGCCGCAACCCAGATGCTACGCACCTCCTTGTTCCCACACGGGCGAGAGGCTGTGAACAGCATCCGAGAGGTCGTGCTTGCTTGCTTGCTCCTCCACTTCCCCCCCCATCTCCACCTCGTTCGGGCTCACGTCAACATATATTAGAGATCCATAGATCTGGCGCGTGGGCGCCGGATTCACGAGACGGGGGAGGCACCCCCGTAAAAAGAGGCCAACGCCGCCTCGTTGGGCGAGAGATCGCGCCGACTACGCGAGGAAAAGGGACCCGTCGTCGCTAGTCCACGCGCCCGGACCCACGTTTGCGTTTCCTTGGTTCCTCCCCCCGATCTGCCCCCCCCGCTCCCCCCGATCCCCACGTCCCGCTCCCCCATTCCCCTCCTCCTGCTCCTCCTCGACAACATCGACGACGACGACGACGACCGAGAGCGGCGCACCGCGAGGGCGCCGCCGGTGGTGGTCAGCAGCAGGCCCGCGTCGCCCCACGAGGCGCCGAGCACCTCGGGGCGCGCTGGCGGCGGGCGCCCGGCTCAGCGGGACGTCCGGGGAGGATGGGCCCGGTGTCCACCACCACCGCCACGGGGAGGGCAGGGAGGATCGTTCAATCGTTCAAGCTGGGACGATGAGGGCCGCCCGACGTCGGGGAGACGTACGACTCGGGTACGGGGGACTCGGGTACGGGGGACTCGGGGAGGATGGGCCCAGCTTCCACCACCACTGCCATACAGTACGGGCGCGGTTGCAAGAAACCCTCGCAAGGAACCCAACCCTGAAAACCCGCGCGCGAGGTGCACCTGAAAGGAAACCAGGAGCACCCTGAACGCAGCCGCTCCTTCCCCGGCCGCGGGAAGCCACCCGCGGCGCGCGGAGCGAAGAAACTCAGGATACCCTGACGAAAACCAGATGGCTTCTTGATGCGCGCCCCCACTGTAGTAAGATAGGGAGGATCGTTCCAGCTTGGACGATGAGGGCCACCCGACGTCGGGGAGACGTAAGAATCGGACACGGGGGACGCGGGTTGGCCCGAGGGGGCCATCATGAGAATGACGAGACCCAATCTGCAATTTGGCGCGAGCTCCCGCTGCAAACATCCCACGACAACTGGACCGTCAAAATCCAGGACGCGCTCGTCAAAAAAAATGCTGGCAGACCCGAGCTCCTGCTGACTCTGAGGTCGGGCATGTCCTCCTACAGGTTGATCCTGAACGACAGATCACAAACATCAAAAAATACCCCCAAAAAATATCCGAACATAGACACAACAACGGCCCCAGACTATGTTTAAACTATGTTTGAATCCCCCTGTAGAGGGACAGGCCCGACTTGAGCTTGCTCGAATCTTGCGTTTCCCCGACGACTTTGGACGCCCGAAATGGGTACGGAAAAAATTGGTACAATGCCCAACAACAAATGTTGTCCCGAACCAACAGCGGCCGCTGTCGGGCAGGCGGCCTTCTGCCTCGAATGGACACAGGCCGCGGAGGCGCGGACAGCGAGTCCTGTTCAAAATGAACAGGAACTGCTGCTGGGCATCGTACCCACTCTTTCCGTGCCCATCTCGCTCGTGCAGAACAATTTACTCCTCGGTGGCGGCCGGCTCTGGGCCACCAGCGGCGTCCCACCTCGAGCGCCCGCGCGGGTGTCGCCGACCCGCGTCGGCACGGCACGAGCCTCCCGTGGAAGGGGTGGGATACGAGGGGCCCATTGTCCACCACCACTGCCATGGGCAGGAGAGGGAGGAGGAGGAGGAGGAGGAGGAGGAGGAGGAGGAGGAGGACCAGCGGAAACCCAAGAGCTGTCCTCGATGCTGGCATGAACCCTCCCTCCAAGCTCCCTCTCCATAGGCCCCTACAACGCTTCGCGTCCATTGAGGAAACTGCCCCGTTGGAAGACAGCAGTTTGAAGCTCCTGAAGCGTACCAGAACATTGCTCTCGGGATTTCAACGCCACGTATCAACCTGACTGCTGCGTCTTGACCATCCAGAACCGTGCCAGAACGTCCTTTTTGGGACTCCAACACAGCGAATCAAGATAACTGTTGTGTCCGCATGCTCCTGAATCCTTCGAAAACGCCATTTCTGGTACGCTGATCATGGGAACCCGTGAAACTCTTGCAACTTTTGAAAAAGAATGTGAAGGGGCGCTGAGGCGACAGCCACAATTTGGAAAAAACGCCCTCAATCCGTGAAACTCTTGCGAATGTTGAGAACGAATGTGCGCGGCGCTGAGGCGAGAGCCACATTTTGAAAACCACCCGCCCTCAATCCGTGAAACTCTTGCAACTTAAAACAAATGCGCGCGGCGCTAAGGCGAGAACCACATTTTGAAAACCACCCGCCTTCAGTCCGTTAAACTCTTGCAAATTCTTAAAACGAATGCGTGCGGCGCTAAGGCGAGAGCCACATTTTGAAAACCACCCGCCCTCCATCTGTGAAGCTGTAGCCATTTTTTAAGCTTCAGATTCAGAGATGGTGGGAAAGTCTCAAGCGAAACGCCCGGCCCGCCCTACAAAACTGGCCCCGGGATGTGACAAGGAGGAGTTATTTATAAGGAGAATGAATGGAGGACCTCCTCAGCCTTCCTTCTCCCCCGTCCTATGCATGATAGCGGTGGTGGAGAATTTGCCCATCAGGATAGGGGTAGAGTCGAGGTTGGAGGGGAGTGCCCCTAAACTAAGGAGCCGAACTCTATACACCAACGCTCTGTCCAGCCCAACCATCCAATTCGCGCAGGAAAGCGAATCCTGGTGTATACGGGATCCTGGTGTATACATGTGCCTTCGCTTCCCAGGGAAAACGAGGACAAGAATTATACATCACAGCACCCCGACGTCATCCCCGACCCTAGCATGTCATGGCACTGATAATGTAGATGCTCTAACTTCCGACATCCAGCCGGGCTCGTTCCCTGACCCCACCTTCGGAGAACCCCCACCCTGCGTACTTCGAGCCCCCGATTCGGCCCCACGCAGGAGTGGCCATGGGCAAGCACTGACCTCTGGCGAGCGGCTTTGCGAGGGCGCGGCGGAGGGGGGGCCAAGCCCGAGCGCGAAAAAAAAAGCTATCTGCTGTCCACCGCGTGCACCGATCGGGGAACCCCAAGAGGGAGCGCTCTGGAGGTCACTCCAGCGAGGGGTCACTCCTGCGTGGATTCGGCCGACCCTCGGCTCCTAAGACGAATCCAGGACAAGGATAACATCGGGTGAGGATAAATCGAGAATCTGAGATCTGGCGGCTCCGTTGGATGCATCGAGCGCCGCGGCCTTCTCAGAGCGCTCTGGAACACCCCGGACCGCTCTGGAACGGATCTAGCCTCGTCCTGGCCCCGTCCTATAGGCTCCCCCTCCCCGGCAGAGCCCAGCACGTCTCCGAGGCCGGCGAGGCCGGTCAGCGAGAACGGCGTGGCGCGAGCCGCGCTGGGCATCTCGACCTCCGCCAGATTCGTCGGGGCAGAGGCGGAGGAGGAGGAGGAGAAGGAGGAGGAGGAGGAACGAGGAGGAACGAGGAGGAACGAGGAGGAACGAGGAGGAACGAGGAGGAGGAGGAACGAGGAGGAGGAACGAGGAGGAACGAGGAGGAGGAACGAGGAGGAGGAGGAACGAGGAGGAGGAGGAGGAGGAACGAGGAGGAGGAGGAGGAACGAGGAGGAGGAGGAGGAGGAGGAACGAGGAGGAGGAGGAGGAGGAGGAGGAACGAGGAGGAGGAGGCAAGGGCGGGAGTCGCGAGGGGGGGGGCCGGGAGGAGGCGGAGGTGCGAGGCGAGAGGCGATGGGGCGAGGGAGCAGGGCAGGCCGAGGGTTCGAGAGGGCAGAGGCTGGGAGAGGGAGGACCATTTTACCGTCGACGACGCGGGGGAAAAGCACACAAACAGAGGAAGGAGGAGCGGAGGAGGACAGAGAGGAAGAACTTGGGCGATTCAGACCAAGGCCCGACGATTTTGGCATCGACGACGCGGGGGAAAAGTACACAAACAGAGGAACGGAGGAGGACAGAGAGGAAGAGCTCCGATTAGCCCTCCGGGGACTCAGACCAAGGCCCGGCGTCGACTGCCACGCTGTCACCCTTGTTTTGCCTACCCTGGGTTATGCGAGTCCAGTAATGTCGTCCTCCCTGAACCCCCCTCCCTGAACCCCATTCGGGGGCAGAGGGGGCGGCATTCGTGGCGGAGACCTCGCACTTGACCGCCGCTGGTGTAGTAAACGCATCGACGGCATACAGCAATAAAAGAACGATGGCGAGGGAGGACGAAGGGATGCGAGGTATACGAGGAGGGAGGAAGCAAGGAGGGAGAGAGGATGACAAAGGGCAGCGAAAAGGTCAAACACTTCTACCCGCGCTGCACAACGTCGCCCTCGTGTTCGCGCAAGCGAGGCGCAACGAAGAGTACCACTAACATCTCCAAGTCGCACAGGACCATCCAGTTCCCTCTGCCTAGGACCTTCGAGAAACTCTACACGATCCAGCTGACCAATCCGCCCACCACCCCCCCAAGGGAGGGGAAAGCGGACGCGGATGCGCTCTCGGACGGGGAGGGGGAGGGCAAGAAAAAGGAGGGAGGCCTGTACGATGAAGGCGACGATGGCCAATTAGGTTGCCGTGGAATAGAAACGGGTCCTGTGCTTGGGAAGGGTCCCGGAAGGCCTGCACTGGAGTAAATATCAGGACTCCCTCGAGGACCCCTTCTCGTCGTGGTGATCTCATCCGCTTATCCAAAATCGGTCACCAAAACTCTCCAAGGGTGCATCCCGCGTCCTCACCGGGAGCTCGACGGGAATCCAGCCGTGACCACGGGGAGCCTCCCAGAGGCCAAGAAAGGCAAAAACAGAAACATTAGAAAACCAAATCCCAACCACAATCCACGCAAAAGCTCTCCCTGGGCCCCTTGGAGGGTTCATCATGGAACGTTTATCGCTCAAGACAAAAATCTGACGGCCCTGGGGCCCGCCACGGGCCCATCTAGAAACCGAAAAGCAAGCAAACAAAACGCGCCCGAAATCTCGGCTCTCGAACCCTCGGGTCCACCCTGAAGTTTATCACCCCAAACCGGTTTCTGACGGCCTGTATTCATACGCACAGCAAAAAAGCAGATACACATCCAACATCTAAATCCTCCAACCTCGAACCCTTTAGGGCCGCTCCAGAAACGCCCAATGCCTTCCTTGTGGGAGCGCTGCCCCCTTCTGTGTCAGGCTCTTGAGGTTTCGTGAAGGGCTCGCTGAAAACCTACCGCAGACGCGGCACCATCGAATATGTCATCGATGAGAAGGCCTTCCACTGGCTTCCGAGAGAAGAGAGCCAGCCCTGTTTTGCTTCCGTCTGCTTCCGCCAAACTCTTCCGCCGACTTCAACCTTGCGACTGCGACCCGCACTGCGCTCTTTGTGAATGACGCGGGTGTGGCCCGAAGCGCCTGCACCATCCCAGAATATCTGACAGAAAAATGGCCATGGACTGCTCCAAGCATCAGGCGTTGCACAGTGCAGTCAGCCAGGTACGATCGTGCATGGAAGCTGCATGCGCCTCACCTGTGGGGATCGCGCTGCACAACTGGGCCGCCGCCAGTCGACATGACGCAACTCTACCGTACACGGGTCGGTGAAGACAGGCGCACCCTTCGTGAGATCCTCCGACACCAACCATCTGGGAGGCCCCCAAAAAGATCCCCCGCGTACTGCCAGAAACGCCTGTGGGGGGGCCGTCGAGGCCGCGCGCGCCCTTCGTGTGCCTCCGCGCACCTTCCTGCGGCCCAGGGGGGATCCCTTAGGGGCCCTTCAGGGCCCCTCTGCTGCAACCCTTCTGGGAGGCCTAAGTGTTGATCGCTCCGGTACTGCCAGAAACGCCCGTGGGGGGGACGTCAAGGCCGCGCGCGCCCTTCGTGCGCCTCCGCGCTTCTTCGGCGGCCCATTGGTGACCCCTTGCGGGCCCTTTTAGGACCCCTCTCCTGCAATCTCTCAACGAGGGCCTCCCAGGAGACCCCCCAAAAAAGCGAGAACGAGGGGAGGGTAGCGGCATCGGCACCTGCTCATCTGAACGTTATCGCCCACCCCGCTGCTAGACAAGCGCGTTCCACTACTCGCACAGGAACTACTCGCAAATGGCCCGGATCCGACGCGGGGGATCCACGCTCCATCCAGAATCGAGGCACACGCGTGTCTCGCCGGACGCTTGCGAGTAGGCACTTTGCGAGTAATGGAATGCGCTCGGTGAGCTGCGACGCGCCCGGGGGGGCCATCAAGGCTGCGCGCGCCGGGGGCCGGCCCTCAGGATGCAAGTGCTGGGAGGTCTCCGTCGGAAGGACTAGGGAGACTTAAGCTCCACCGGGAGGCTACGCCGGATTCGGCCGCGGACTGACCGGGATAACGCCGGAGCAAGCTGGATCCAACGGGATTGAGCAGGACGAAGCCGATCTCGACCGCATTTCGGACCAGGGCAAAGTCAGAACCTGACCCCCAGGAGTTGCATGCGAGCAGGCCCCCTCCCCCGCGTGACCAGGGCGCCGCGGCTGTCGGCCGCCAGGGCGGCGAGGTGCCCGGTCCTGGCGCCGCCGCCCTCGCCCCCTTCGGCCGCGGCCGCGGCCGCGAGCCCGCTGGCGCTGCCGCCCTGCTGCTGCTGCTGCTGCTGCTGCTGCTGCTGCTGCTGCTGCTGCTGCTGCTGCTGCTGCTGCTGTCGCTCACACCTCCTGCTGATGCTCCTCCTTCCAGTTCGGTGACAACTCATGGGAGCCTCCCATACTATCTTGTCGGCTCTTGCGAGTCGAAGCAAATCGGCGCGAAACCGAGGCTAATCGACGCTAAATCGATGCTAATCGGCGCTAGATCGACGCTGATCGGCGCTACCTCATCGACTCCAGGCGCTTATCGACGCTTATCGACGCTAAAGACGGAATTGAGAGGGTATACCAGGCTCCCATGACTTGCGACAGAATTCCAGATTCCCAACGCCCCCCTCTCGTCGTGGAGCAATCACGACGGAAGGCTTGCTGCGACGTTCGGCCTCTCCGGGCCCTCGCCGGGCCCAGGCTCCTGCAGAAAACGACTCGGGATGGAAAGCCAGTCCGGGGAATTGGCCAAGGCCTCCAGGCGTCGACCTTGTGACAAAGATTGTGACTTCCTGCTGCTGCTCCTCCTGCTGCTGGTCCTCCTTCCAGGAACACGCTTCTTATTGGCGATCACGCCCGTGGCTGGCCCCGCCCCCCCTCCCTCCCCCGCCCCCCTTGTCACGTTACGATTCGCGCTGGCGCCGTGTGGGAATGAGCAAGTTCGAGGCATTCCCAGACGGCGCTGCCGAGAATCGTGACGTGACCGAACCACTCCCCCCTCCCCCCCTGGTCACACCCGTTATCACCAGGGGGTCAAATAGGCTCTCTCCAGATTTCCAGGTATCCAGAATTCCGAGTCAGCACCAAGATCCACGGCTTGTCATCGGTCCCGTGCAGAAGAAGCCGAAAGGGAGAAGACGGAGTCCAGCCCTCCTCGCAGTGGAGCGCTGCGCCTGGAAGCATCAGATCGGGCGCTCGGACATCGGCTCCCTCTCAGCAGAGACTTCGGCTTCGCAGCATCACCGCGAGGTCGGCGCGGACACCGCTCAGACGAGAAAATGCGCACGGTGCCTCGCGAAGGCGCCACAGTTCGAACACCGGGTGGCTGGCAAAGCAGCACGCCCATCGCCCATCTCCTCGTCATCCTGCTCCTCCCTTCCTTCCTCCTTGCCTCCGCCCCCCTTAACTATCACGCACTTCTCCAGCGACGACGTCGGGCAGTCCCAGAGGTTCTCATGGCCACGGCCGGACGCAGCTCAGGAAAACGTGACGGCGAGCCTGGAGTGGAAGCGAGAGAGGGGCAGGCCTTTTCAGACGGCGGTGGGGCTTGTCAGAAGCCCTCGCGCCTTCTGAGCAAAAATTCGGAGCCTTCTTCGAAGACGCAGAGAACTTCCTCCGTGCCCCCCCTAAGAAGCCGACCCCAGCCTGTGGCCAACAGTCGAGCTTGATTGGGGAGGACGCGCGAGAGGAAACAAGACCCTTCCGAGGGCGACTCTGCCCCAGGAGAAGAAAGGGCACGGGACGAGAACGCACAAGACACACGGGCACCCTTGATCTGGAAAGGTCGACCTACTAACCAAACCCGACTGTGTTACCAAGGGCCAGGTCACTTAACCTCGACTCCCAGGCTCCGCCTCACCCGCCGCATCCCCGCGCCAGCATCTCACCGCTTGGGTTTCCCCCAACAGGCTGTGAAAGCGAGCAACATCCGCCATGAAACCCAAGAGGATCGAAAGAGAGATATTCCCGAGGACGACATCAACCCGTCAACACGGCCGATGCCTCTCGAACCTGAGCTCGTTGTACTCTGCCCGCTTCGAAAACATCATCCTCATCCTGCTCCTCCGTCTCCTCCTCCTCCTCCTCCTCCTAGTCCTCCTCATCCGACCTCATACATCCTACCTTCTGGTCTGAGGATGTCTTAGGTCGGGCATGTCCTCCTACAGGCGGGCTGTGGAAGAAGAAGAAGAAGAAGAGATCGTCAAACAATATTCAACCATAATCGCAAATAATCGAAAACCGTCCACAGACAATTTTTTATTATTTTGAATTGTCTTCCTGTAGAAGGACATGCCCGACTCAATCCTAGTCCTCCTCGTCTTCGTCCTCGCCCTCCTCCTGGCCCAGCCCTGGACCTCCGACAGCGTGCTCCCTTCAACCCGCGGGGCCCAGAGGGCACGACCCCCTTCCCCAAGGGAGCACCATCTCCCGCAGGGCTCGCGCTGAACAGTGCTTTCCACTCTCGCGTTGCCCTTTCTCTCGTTCTGCGCCTCGCGCCTGCAGCCCTGGCTGGCGCCCGCGGGTGTGCCCGGCTTCCGCCCTGGTCACTGCCACGGCCCCGCCGCCCTGGCTGGCCGCGCCGGCCCGCTCGACCTGGAGCTCTTCCACATCGGAGCGCCCCCTGCTTTCCCCCCGCCCCGCGGCGGTTCCCTCTTCCTCTTCCCCTCTTCTGCACGCTGGTCGATGTGCTTCTCGGCGCCCCCGTTTATAGGACCACGCTGGTGCGGATCGCGTCCGCCTCGCCGCCGACTTGTCTTCCCTCGTCCTGTCTTCGTCCCGCATCTGCTGCGAAACGAGGTCAGAACGAAAACAATCCACGACATCGCCAAAACACCGCTTACGGACAAGCGCGCTCCACTGCTCGCAAAGTCACTGCTCGCCAATGGCCTGGATCCGCCGCCCGGGATTCACGATCTAGTGCATCGAGGCAAACAGACCTGTCTCTCGGGCGTTTGCGAGTGGGCGCTTAGCGAGCCGTGCCACGCGCTCAGGCTGCTTAACTCGAGCCCTGCGCGGATCTCCTCCCGCTCGGCGCAGCGGGCCGGCCCCGCCCCCTCCCCCCGGCACGCGGCAAACGCGCGACCGGGCGGCGCCCGAGAGGCGCGCCTTAACGGAGGCCGGGCGCGGACCCGAGAGGCGCGCCTCAAGAGAGGTCCGCGCGGGCCTGCGATGAGGTTCCTCGGAGGAGAACCAAAAAATATCGCCACCACGGAGGCACAGCCTCCGTGCCTGGTCGGGGACGACGCGGGGCGGGTGTGGCCCGAAGCGCCTGCATCTTCCCAGGACGTCTGACAGAACATGAGCTATGGACTGCTCCAATCATCACGCGTGGCACACTGCAGCCGGTCAGGCACGATCGTGCGAGGAGGCTGCACGCGCCTCACCCGTGGGGACGGCTCTGGCAAGCTGGGCCGCCGCCGGTCGACATGACGCAACCCTACCGTGCACGGTGTGGCGGAGAACTGCGCACCCTTCGTGCCCCTTCGGGGGCGAAGTGGCCCCCTGGGGGCCCTGTGGGGCCCCTCTCCGGCAACCTCTGATCCCCCCCCAGCTTGGGGGGGTGCCTCTCGGATGGGGTCCGAGCAGCTGGGGTCGGAGGATCGCGCCGCGCCGCCGATGCGTCGCCGATGCATCGCAGGTGCATCGCCGATGCATAGGCGACGTCGGCGTGGAGGAGGAAATCGGGCAATGGGGCTCAACATCGAGCCGCATCGCCGATGCATCGGCAACATGGCGCGGTCCTCCGACACCATCTGGGAGGCCCCAAAACAGATCACCCGCGAACTGCCAGAAACGCCTGTGGGGGGGCCGTCGAGGCCGCGCGCGCCCTTCGTGTGCCTCCGCGCACCTTCCTGCGGCCCAGGGGGGACCCCTCAGGGGCCCTTTAGGACCCCTCTGCTGCAACCTTTCATCCCTCCCCCATCCTCCACTTTTTTGGGGGGGGGCAAAAAGGCTCCGATACCGCTACCCCCATATCGACCTCTCCTGGGGTGCGTTCTGACCAGAATTTCGAGCCGAATCCCGCGGTGTCGACGAGGGCCTCCTCAAAGACCCCGGAACGCGAAGGCGAGGCCAGGACAGCGGACTCGGTACCTTGTCCTCCTTCGGGGTCCTTCTGACCCGGGTCGGGTCGATCCAGACCCGGGTCAGCCAGGCCTTGCATAATCCTGCAAGATCCTGCACCCAAATCCGGGTCAATGCTAAGGATCCTGCAAGATCCTGCAGGATCCTGCACCCAAGCCCGGGTCAATGCGACCCTGGCCCTGCAGGGTCCTGCAAGATCGGGCGCCCTGGCAGACCACCGATTGCATTGACCCCCCGCCTCCTGAGCCCCGACTCCAGGCCTGTGCCGCTTCTCTGCTCTTCGGCACCCGCCTTCCCAGCGCACGGGCAGCACGCAGCGGCAGGCCGGCAGCGGGCAGCACGGGGCGGCGGCCCAGACCGCCCGACCCAGCTGCCCCGAGCACAGAAATCTCCGAGAACATCTGGGAGAGAGTCCGTGCCGCCGCTCGAGCAGGGCGAGGTGAGGCAACACACACACACACACAGAAACACACACACACACACACGCACCGGCGAGATCAGAGCTCCAACGAAGGCCCCAATCGCCAGGAGAATGTTCTCACGACGCGGATTGGCGTGGGGGCTGGTGAGAGAGGACAAGGAGTTACCGTTGGCGTTGGAAAGATACCGTGCAACATCGGTTCCCGAAAAGCACGCTGTCCCTGTGAGGCGATGCCCCCTCGAGGGCCCTCCTGCGCACGCTATACCACTGCCAAGGCTTCTTCGGTGCACGCGATCCTCGGAGGCTAGCCCTAAAGTGGGGGATAATGTGGAGAAGTGGGCTGGCGGCCTCACATCGCACGCCATCTTTACAATGCCAGACGCGCGACCCGGAAAACATGTGGCAATAGAGACCTCCTCAATATTGAGGAGAGGTCATAGGAGATGGGGTCGTAAAGTCGTGCTGCATCGCTGGAACATCGCCGGTGCATCGGCAAGGCATCGGCGATGTCGGCGGTGCATCGGCGATGCCAGCACGGAAGAAAATCGAGCTGCACATCGAGCAGCATCGGCGATGCATCGCCTATCTTGCGCGGTCCTCCGACCCCACCTGCTCGGACCCCTTTCGGGAGGCCTCGAGGCAATGAAGGCCCTCTGGTAGGGGCCCAAACTCTGACATAAACGCAACCTCTCCGAGGCCCGCGCGGATCTCT